TCTCTCTTTTTATCCCTCTCTCTCTCTCTTTTTATCCCTCTCTCTCTCTCTCGTTTTATCCTCTCTCTCTCTCTCTCGTTTTATCCCTCTCTCTCTCTCTCGTTTTATCCCTCTCTCTCTCTCTCGTTTTATCCCTCTCTCTCTCTCTCTCGTTTTATCCCTCTCTCTCTCTCTCGTTTATCCCTCTCTCTCTCTCTCGTTTTATCCCTCTCTCTCTCTCTCGTTTTATCCCTCTGTCTCTCTCTCGTTTTATCCCTCTGTCTCTCTCTCTCTCGTTTTATCCCTCTGTCTCTCTCTCTCTCGTTTTATCCCTCTGTCTCTCTCTCTCTCGTTTTATCCCTCTGTCTCTCTCTCTCTCGTTTTATCCCTCTGTCTCTCTCTCTCTCGTTTTATCCCTCTGTCTCTCTCTCTCTTGTTTTATCCCTCTCTCTCTCGTTTTATCCTCTCTCTCTCGTTTTATCCATCTCTCTCTCTCGTTTATCCTCTCTCTCTCTCTCTCTCGTTTTATCCCTCTGTCTCTCTCTCTCGTTTTATCCCTCTCTCTCTCTCTCTCGTTTATCCCTCTCTCTCTCTCTCTCTCGTTTTATCCCTCTCTCTCTCTCTCTCTCTCTCGTTTTATCCCTCTCTCTCTCTCTCTCTCGTTTTATCCCTCTCTCTCTCTCTCTCTCTCGTTTTATCCTCTCTCTCTCTCTCTCCTCGTTTTATCCTCTCTCTCTCTCTCTCTCTCTCGTTTTATCCCTCTCTCTCTCATCTCTCTCTCTCGTTTTATCTCTCTCTCTCTCTCTCTCTCTCTCGTTCTATCTCCTCTCTCTCTCTCTCTCTCGTTTTATCCCTCTCTCTCTCTCTCTCTCTCGTTTTATCCCTCTCTCTCTCTCTCTCTCTCGTTTTATCCCTCTCTCTCTCTCTCTCTCGTTTTATCCCTCTCTCTCTCTCTCTCTCGTTTTATCCCTCTCCTCTCTCTCTCTCGTTTTATCCCTCTCCTCTCTCTCTCTCGTTTTATCCCTCTCTCTCTCTCTCTCGTTTTATCCCTCTCTCTCTCTCTCTCGTTTTATCCCTCTCTCTCTCTCTCTTTCTATCCCTCTCTCTCTCTCTCTTTTTTATCCCTTCTCTCTCTCTGTTTTATCCCTCTCTCTCTCTCTCGTTTTATCCCTCTCTCTCTCTCGTTTTATCCCTCTCTCTCTCTCGTTTTATCCCTCTCTCTCTCGTTTTATCCCTCTCTCTCTCTCTCTCGTTTTATCCCTCTCTCTCTCTCCTCTCGTTTTATCCCTCTCTCTCTCTCTCTCGTTTTATCCCTCTCTCTCTCTCTCTCGTTTTATCCCTCTCTCTCTCTCTCGTTTTATCCCTCTCTCTCTCTCGTTTTATCACTCTCTCTCTCTCGTTTATCCCTCTCTCTCTCTCTCTTTCTATCCCTCTCTCTCTCTCTTTCTATCCCTCTCTCTCTCTCTTTTCTATCCCTCTTCTGTCTCTCGTTTTATCCCTCTCTGTCTCTCGTTTTATCCCTCTCTCTCTTTCTATCCCTCTCTCTCTCTCTTTCTATCCCTCTCTCTCTCTCTTTCTATCCCTCTCTCTCTCTCTCTTTCTATCCCTCTCTCTCTCTCTCTGTCTATCCCTCTCTCTCTCTCTTTCTATCCCTCTCTCTCTCTCTCTCTCTCGTTTTATCCCTCTCTCTCTCTCTCTCGTTTTATCCCTCTCTCTCTCTCGTTTTATCCCTCTCTCTCTCTCTCGTTTTATCCCTCTCTCTCTCTCTCGTTTTATCCCTCTCTCTCTCTCTCTCGTTTTATCCCTCTCTCTCTCTCTCTCGTTTTATCCCTCTCTCTCTCTCTCTCGTTTTATCCCTCTCTCTCTCTCTCTCGTTTTATCCCTCTCTCTCTCTCTCGTTTTATCCCTCTCTCTCTCTCGTTTTATCCCTCTCTCTCTCTCGTTTTATCCCTCTCTCTCTCTCTCTTTCTATCCCTCTCTCTCTCTCTTTCTATCCCTCTCTCTCTCTCTTTCTATCCCTCTCTGTCTCTCGTTTTATCCCTCTCTGTCTCTCGTTTTATCCCTCTCTCTCTTTCTATCCCTCTCTCTCTCTCTTTCTATCCTTCTCTCTCTCTCTTTCTATCCCTCTCTCTCTCTCTCTTTCTATCCCTCTCTCTCTCTCTCTGTCTATCCCTCTCTCTCTCTCTTTCTATCCCTCTCTCTCTCTCTCTCTCTCGTTTTATCCCTCTCTCTCTCTCTCTCGTTTTATCCCTCTCTCTCCTCTCTCCGTTTTATCCCTCTCTCTCTCTCTCTCGTTTTATCCCTCTCTCTCTCTCTCTCGTTTTATCCCTCTCTCTCTCTCTCTCTCGTTTTATCCCTCTCTCTCTCTCTCTCGTTTTATCCCTCTCTCTCTCTCTCTCTCGTTTATCCCTCTCTCTCTCTCTCTCGTTTTATCCCTCTCTCTCTCTCTCTCGTTTTATCCCTCTCTCTCTCTCTCTCGTTTTTATCCCTCCTCTCTCTCTCTCTCTCGTTTTATTCCCTC